ACGAGTTGCCCCTCTATGAAATCAAGGCTATACAGAAGGAGATAGCTGAATTTGGTGTTGGCTTAAAATGTGAGAACAAGATTGGAAAATTGTGTGTAAACTGTTTTCTCCTGCAAAGTCCACTATGATAAAAATCTCCAGGGATTAACATTGAATTTGCCTCTCTTCCAGTTTTGATGACAAAAGCTATTCACTTATTAGCTACCTCTAATAAAAAGACCCTATTACTGTGAAAACTACTAGTACTGAAGTCTTACATGATCCCTTGCATAGTAAATGTCCCCATTTAAGTAATTATAATGAATGTTAATAGGTTATTTATTATGGAAGGTAGAGAATGGGATGCTAAGAGATCCTAGCACAGTATTTCTCTCATCTCTACTCCTTATTATCTTTGTGACTATGAACAAGATAGTTAACCTCTCTGTGCTCCATTATGGCATTTGTAAAAGGAGAATTAATGCTCATATCTACCTCATAGAGTTGTTGAGGGAAGGAAATGAGTTAAGATATGTAAAACATTGAGGACTGTGTCTGTTACATAGTAGGAGTTTGATAATTCCCAGAATTGTAATTAATATAATTATAATAATGACTTGTTACAACAGCCATTCAATAAGTAGTTTCTGAAATACTGAATCAATGAACTCCGAAGAGTATAGGGAAATCTATAGTAGATTTATTGGCTCTAGTTAGTTTTAACTATTACCTACACTGTATTTTCTAAGTAATAAAATATCATTATTTTCTTCTACAATAGAGCTTGACTGTATTCAGTGGGATCATTCTGATCTGTTTAGAGATATAAAGGGAGAAAGTTTAATTTTAAATATTTCTTGTATGTGTTAAAAATACATGTCTGTAATTTGGCACAAAATTCCCATTTTAGGAGTGCATTTGTCCTTCACAAAAATTTGAAGATCTTGATCTATAAATTAATACCCTAAACTTTTACATGATTCAGAACTGTTAAAAATACTCTGGATTCTATAGTTATCATCTAGCAATGAATATGACTCCCAAATTGTCCTGGTCCATTTATGTTGCTATAAAGGAATACCTGAGGGTAATTTACAATGAAAAGAGGTTTATTTGGCTCATGGTTCTGCAGGCTGTGCAAGAAGCATGGGACCAGCATCTGTATTTATGAGGGTCTCAAGTTGCTTCCACTCCTGGCAGGAGGCAAAAGAGACCCAGTGTGTGAAGCGATTACATGGCAAGAGGGAGCAGGCATAAGGTTCCAGGCTGTTTTCAACAGCCACTTCTTGTGGGATAGTGAAAACTCACTCGTTCCTGAGAGAATGACATCAAGCCATTCATGAGGGATCCACTTCTGCAACCCAAACACTTCCCACCAGGCTCCACCTCCATCACTGAGCATCACATTTCAACATGGAACTTAGTAAAGCAAAACATACCATATACAAACCATGGCACAAATAATTACCCTAAAATACAATGTATTCACCATATTTTAATTGGAAAAAAATCAATGTGTACATCGTAGGTAGAATTTTGTTATTTATATAGTTTCCTTACTCATGCCATTCATCTTGGCTTATATTTGGTAAGGTTAAATTTTCCCTTAAGTCTGACACTCTACTTAATTAATTCTTTATTGTTTTATATGCAAATTTTTCCATTTGCTTCTATAAGTAATAAAAAACCACTACTGCTACTCACTCTCACTTGGTTGTTTATATAAAGTACAGTTATCTTTAATTTTTCCAAATCCTACAAAATAGGAACTATTATCCAAATTAGATAAAGGATGAAACTGGGGGTTGGAGAGATTCATTAACTTGCTTTCTACCATGCAGTGGAATAATTGGTTAGGTTTAAGATCTGATGGGAGTTCTTTCTAACTCACTGAACTATCTGACATCAAGGAATCTATCTGACTCTCATCATCTATTGCCCATAGCACCAGCTTTTCCCAGTCTCTTTGCTTTGATCTCACTTTGGTTTCTCTTCTGCTTTATCCTCATCAAGTCCTGTGTGCAACCCTGAATCTCGACTCAACCAACTTTTCTATTCTCAATTCTTGTTTTACATAAAATTACATCACCAGGAATTCTACTTTATCTTGGTCTGTTTGGGGGAAAAAAAAAATTCTTGTATTGACTATGAAGCTGAAATTATAGAGCGGATCCTGCCTGCAACATAGTTTTTTATGCAGTAAATTTCTGTATTCTTTTAAAAGCCTTTCTATGAGACAATGCGGCTTTACATAAGCAATTTAGCTGTACATAAGCAAGCACAATGAAGAGCTTGGTTCATTGGGATAGCTATTTGTTTCTACTATCCTTTTATTGAGATGAAGTTGTAGTTGTATGCCACCCATTTTTTTAATGAACTCTCAAATTACCATTAGAAATTCAAAACAATGGGAGCCAAACAGTCAAGAAAATTGAAGATCAAATGTCCAAGTTACTGAACATAGGAAAGTCTGTTCATTATCCCATTAAATTTAGTTTTCTCATGAATAAATACTCTGATTAAGCTTCTACTTTTCAAGTCGTTTTATGCTTTCATTTCTTTTTTAATTCTAAAATGTTTTCATTTGAGTGCATACTCTAAGTATAAATTAAGATTTATCATATAGCATTAAACAACAAAAATGTTAACTATTTCAAAGTTTATTTTTAAATTTAAAAATATCATAGTCACCCAAAAAAATTTAAGTGGTTATTGCTAGCCCACCAAAAGAACAGTGTTCATTAGAACATTATTTCTCTGATAAAATTTTTTATTTAAAATTTTGTTAAATTTTTATAAACAATGAAATTTGGAGATAAGAATGCCCTAAAACCTATGCTTTCAGAACATAGGTTTTGAATCCCTATGTTTTATAGTCAATAAGCACCATGAGACCTGACATTTCAAACTGTTTTATTAGCACCTGTGGTTCCAGCTTCTAGAATATTGCTTAACACATAGAAGGAATTTAAATATTAATTGTGAATATATTAATTGTTATCCTTGCAAATGGAAAATGGAACAATTCTAACAACTTTAAGTAATCTAATGCAGACTTGCCTTAGTAAGGTTCTACTTCTCAATAACAGCAAATCACAATGTCTGATAGATGACTGGACTTTTGAATTTTTAATTGTAGCTTGTTATCCAATTGATTCTTTTCCATTTGAGAGTATCTTTCTTCAAAGTATATTTTCTTGTGTCATATCTGTTGTAACTTAGGCTATGATCCTGTCAGCTGTTAGCTAGGCTATCTTGCATGATCCATGACCCAAAACACTCATAAAGGGACCCAAACAACAAGAACACGTGAACCCAGGGAGAGGAGCATCACACACTGGCGGCAGTTGGGGGGGGCCTAGGGGAGAGACAGCGTGGGGCGGGGAGGGAGGGGAGGGATAACATGGGGAGAAATGCCAGATATAGTATGCACCTAAAGTAAAATAAATATATTTTTTTAAAAAAGAATAATACCTAATTACCTGTTTTAAACCAAAAAAAAGAAAAAAAAAAGAAAAAAAAGGAATCAGCCCTACAGAATGAGAGACATGTAAACCTTAGTCTCCAACATATCCACAAAAGTTGTCTTTTGGAAGGCTCATTTTATAACTACTGAGAAACTAGGGTTTTATTATTCAAACCAGTAGTTTGACTAAAAATGAAGGAATGTGAGTTCTTTATTAACTGGAATTGGTCATTGCCACTGCCTTTTTAGAGAAAGACCAAGACTTTCAAAGGGATTGAAAATAATTTTTTTTAAAGAGGAAGTGGTTGTAGTTTTGTTTGTGTTTTTTTTTTTTTCTCTGAAACATCTCTTGTATATCATGGGAACATATTTGAACAGAGGAGGGTCCAAGAGGCAAGATTTTACATAAGAATCTTTGCTTTTACCTCCCACTGCCATACTCACCATGTGAAGTTTTAAGAATCTAATTTGGTTTTCTTACTATTATAGAATTTCCTTATCAACTAGGTTAGAAAGAAGTAGATTATCTATGTGAAATTAGTGCAGAATTAAGGCTCTCAGGCTATTATATTACAGTTTCTCAAAAATGCAATATGTTTCTGGCATTTGCTTTATTCGTCATGAAAAATTGTTAATATCCTTTAGGATTGCCAGTGTTGGTATTTAGTCTTTGTATCACTGCTACTCTTATTATCACCATTATTTTACACTTCAAAGGAAACAATTCTATTAAAAAGAAAAGTTTAAAAATAGAAATCTTAAATACAACCATATTCATTATTTAAAATACCATAGAATTTGTTAGATACTTGCTGAAAAATTATATTGATATTCCATTGATACAGATATCCTTTGATTTGCCTGAGATATAGCCAACAGGGCCTTGACACACAAATACATTCCAGGTAATTTGAAACATGTACATGTTTGTGTGTATATGTGTGAGATATACGGGGGTATGTGCATATGTGTGTATATTTCACTTTTTATACAAAAACATAAAAGCAGACATAATTGGTCATCTAGGTGGCCAAGTTTGGCATGTATCTTAACAAACTATGAGATTTTTATCCTTAAAAAGTTATTTTGGGGTTGAGCTTTATCTATGATTTTTATTTTTAGAACATATTAAGAAGCAATATGACTGAAAGACTTTATAAGGAAATGATATCCTCTCTGTGAGAGGAAGACATTCTACATGTAGGTTTTAATATTTTACTATAAGAAAACCTTCTAAACTGTTGCTTGTGAACTCTAAGGGCATGTCCTTAACTTTAGCACAGCATAGCTTGATGCCATAGTCTGGGATGTAGAAATGACTCCTAAATGTTGGCTCAGAATGAAAGATGGCCTATTATCAAAGTCAGTGATGGGATGTTGTGTAAACCTCACAAAGCTGGATTTTGGTCAATCGTGTCCATGGTCAGGGAAGTCTTCATATCAAAGACCATCTGTGTATACGTTGCATGACTGTTGATTGTCTCATGAGTGTTTGTCTTTTATGTATGATTAATACACAAAATGTTTTCTTTTCTTTCCTTTTCCCCTTTTGTAGAAATTATTGAACCTACTACCTCTAGTCCTGTCACAAGTCCAGGTCAGTATCCACATACATTCTCAAAGTATGTCTGGGTACTTTTTCCATTACAAGACCTTCTCATCATTATAGAAATAAACCAAGTTGATTATGGGCCGCATGCTTGCAGTGCTGCCCTAATGTCTGTTACTTGTCCTCGTCTATCTGTGATATGTCCTCATGTTGGATTTTGTGATCTGATCCTGATTTTTAGTTTATATCTTCGACTTCATTCCGTAGGGCATATGCAGTAAATATGTGTCACATTGTAGAATAGTTGCAAGGTGATTAGCTTCTGCAATGCCTTTGCAAACAGAGCTGTAGAGATTTTACAAGGTTTTTGGAGTAGCTATTAAAAAACTATTTACTATGGCTTGGTATTACATTATTATAAAATCATTATGAAGCAAGAAGGTATTTAGTGCTTCTAAAGGGAGCGATAGCTAAGGGAAAACGTATACTTCTACCCTTGCAATATTATAGTAGGAGATTTTGGTCTTTTGAAACTGTCAAGTCAAAGGACTTATTTCAGTTGCTGGGCTTTATTTTCAGATTGTTCCTAATTCAGCCACAAATACTCTGAAAAGATAGGCCATTGCTATAAGTGTGTTTTTAAAAGTTGTTTTCAACTGTGAACATTTCTGAGTGACATGAAATCGAGATAAAAGCAATTGATATTAGAAACAACCTCTATCTCGTTACATAGGAATTTAACAGTTCATTCTGGATGTTGGCTTCTGGCTATTTAAAGAAGAAAGTAGAAATGCTAAAGTTATTTAGCTTTGAAAAGTTCATAGGGATTTCTTGTAACTGCTGAGTTAAAGGATTTGTTGATGCTGCCTACCCATAAAGAGGTATAAGTTAGTTAAATAGTTGTTTCTCCTCTCATTCCAGAAATGGCACTAAATTTTAGTCTAAAACAGGATTTGCTGATCTGAGAAACTGAGTGTCTTAGAAATGAAAAAAAAAAAAAAACTCTATCTCAAATTGTAATCAATCAAAAATGCTTTAAATTGCTTTAGATGATTATGAATTACCCCCACCCCAAAATGAAATATGTTTGAGAAAGTCTATGATTATATATTTAAAGAATCTCATAATATAACACTTTCTGGTCAAATCATAGAATACTTTTTCATAACCTCTCAAACTGAAGCATATTGACTGGTCTATTTTAAATTATTTTATAGTTGATGAATACAAGCGTTAAGTTATATGATTAATAACAGTTTCCCATTTTATAGGAGTTAACAGGCTCTCAAATTTGAGTTATATTAATATAATTAGAACCAGTAGTCATGTGAATCTAATTTTTCTTTTTACTTATAAAGACTTATTATGTGTGATTCCTACTAAAGCCTTTGGCCTCTACAGATTAATATAATCTCAGGTTCATATGAGATCAAAATCTTGCTACTAAACTTTTTAATCTTCTTTTCTCTATATTTTTATGAGGATATTAAGTCATTTCCTTCTAGCTATGTCACTGGTGGGTTGAAGTGAAGATTAGATAAGTTCTTACTTTCCTATTTTGACCAACGCCCTAATTATTGGCTGAAGTCCTCATAAATTAAAAGGACACAGTACCTTCCTTGTCTACTCAAATAAAGAATAGCAGAATGCAATATATTTTCAGAAGTGGCATCTGGTGGCATTCAGTAATAGCATATTTGCTGACTTCATGTTTTTGGAAAAAGTTATACTGAGGCTAGGTATAGTAAGATTCTTTTTCAGTAGTTTATTTATATCAAGAGATCTTTCCATGTTTGGGGTTCTTAGAAAGAAATTCAAGTCATAAAACAAAGACATTGCTCTTACCTTTACAAAGATCCATTTTTCTTCATAGAATGTAGATCATAAGGGTTAAGAACATAGACTTTGAAGCCAACTACCTAGGTTTGAATCCCAATCCAATTACTGTAGCTTTTAGCTGTGTAAACTTCATTAAGTCACTTAACCACTCTACACTCAGAGTTTTCATTTGCAAAATGGGGTGGGTGTACAATAAGGATAGTACCTAGTACATAGAGTTATTATGAAATTGAGTATGTCAGTATTGGTAAAGTACCTGTAAGTGTTCCTAGTACATAGTATGATAGAAGTGTAGGTTAAATTATGGGGAAAAATGCACACACATACACACACACAAACACCTCCTCATGATGTCCAGATATGAAAAAAGTTTACTAACATGATTAAAGGAAAACATTTGAACTGTTTAGTCTCTCAAGCACTCTGAGACCTAATAATTGTTGGCATGACTTCTAAAATGCCCAAGCAACAGCCATTATGTCCCCAAATTGGTCAATTTGTTGCTAGGGTTAAATGTTTGGAAACTATGAATGCATGAAAAATAGTCTAAAATTGAATTTCTTAGCACTGCAATCTTTAAAAAAAGATAATATAAACTTTTAAAAATGATTATTGTATTAAAATTTAATAAATATATGTTGAATTGAATAGAAAGATAAAAACCAAATGCAGCTATAAATGAAATTCACCCTTCATTAATTGTGAATTTTTTAAAGGCCTCCAGGGAACAGTTTGGTTAGGCAGGGATTTAAAGAGTATGTGGTTATAGCAGGATTGAAAGAGTGGTATAAATGATAAACAAAAGCTTTTAAAAGAATGTGCAGTCTGCTGAGCAAGATACAAAGGAGAAGGATTTGGCAATATATAACTCTAAGCAAAAGATCATTAAAGGTAGGTGGGAAAATAATTTACTCTATGAATAAAATAAAAGTGCTAAAAGTTCCAGTTGTTTCAAACAAAGCTTTAAAAAAATGTTATCCAAATGACAATAGTAAATGAAAATTCTCACAGAAGTATTCATTAGATAATAAATATTAGATTTGCAAACTACCCCATTTACTGCTTCTACATAAGTGGAAAAAGAGAATGTAAACTAACTCAACACATATCTCATATTTCCTATTTCCTAACTGCCAGAGAGTTAAAGCAGAGATAAAGTGGATATAGTTATGAAAATATTGGACACACTGAAAGTAGTTTGAAGTAAGTGGATTTATATCATTTATGTTCATAAGTTCTAAAGAAATGAAGGTCCTAAAGTCATAACTTATGCTTTATATATTCTTGACAAGTCAGAATCTGTTTCAAATGAAGGAAATGGAAATTGAATTATTAACATCATTATTCAAGAAAAGGCTATGAAATATAGTATGTAATAAGAACAAAAGAAAACTATTCTTTGATCAGTCTCAGTCTCGGTTTGAAAGGTAAGGGGCGTTTTTCAGAATGAATGAGATATACAGTGAATTTGAAAATTTGTACTAGCTTTATTGTAATTGCTGTGCTGGAATATAAGTTATTCTGGACAATGGTCATCAAGCTAAAAATGCCTACTATATATTACTAAACCAATATGATCTTATTAAACAATCTAAATCATTTCCATTTTTTTTTTTTTTTTTTGGAGACAGAGTTTCGCTCTCATTACCCAGGCTGGAGTGCAATGGTGCCGTCTCGGCTCACTGCAACCTCCGCCTCCTGAGTTCAAGCAGTTCTCCTGCCTCAGCCTCCCGAGTAGCTGGGACTACAGGCGTGTGCCACCATGCCCAGAGAATTTTTTTGTATTTTTTGTAGAGACGGGGTTTCACCATGTTGACCAGGATGGTCTTGATCTTTTGACCTCATGATCCACCCGCCTCGGCCTCCCAAAGTGCTGGGATTATAGGCATGAGCCACCGTGCCCAGCCCTCCATTTATTTTTTGAAAAAAACAAACATACAGTCTTGTGATCATCTTTGAAGTGTATTTTAATGTTTATGTTGGACTTTTATTTTAAAGAGTGGAAAGGAGCTTAAGGGTATCTCCTCTGAATAAGACAGACTTTTAATCCTAAAATTATTTATTGGTTTACTTTGTGTAACCTGTCTGTCTGAATATATTACACAAGTACTCTGTGACTTTGATCCCAGAAATTCAAGACAGAACTTCCCAATCTAGATTAAATTCACAACAATGTCCTAATGCTGGTTTTATATTCCTAGGTCATCATCATCTATGAAGCATCAAGATAATAATCTAAAAAGTTAAAATTGTAGTCCTACCAGTATTCACTTGGCTTCATATAGATTCAAAACATTTAATAAACACTAATTCAGCAAATCATTTTTAGTCTATAGGCAGAAGATTAAAATTAAAGATATGTTCAATGCACCACAGATACCCCACATAACATTTGTCCTTACTTTGTCCCTAGAAATAATCTTCAGCAGTCATTGACTAAAAATTTTTATTCTGAAAATAATTTAATCTTTAACTGAAAATAATTTAATCTTTTACTCATAGTAAAGAAAATGCTTTATTTATAAGTCTTTAGACAAATAGAGAAGTAGTTTTGAAATACAATTTGTCTGTATCTAAACATAAACCAAAAAACACTCAATGTAGACTCTTCAGTTGGACTTGTACAGTGACTATTTTTAAATGGCTGTTATTAAGCACATTGTGTTTATGGGTGTTTTAAGATCATTTTTAAGTCTATGAAACAATCTAATTCCCATTGACAGTAAAGAGAAAAACCGAAACAAATGATTTTTTTTTAACCAAAGGTAACTGAGAAAGTATATGGCAAAACCAATAATGAAATGCCTATAGCTATATCATCAAATGTTTGCCTCATTTTAAATAACAGAACTGTTTTGAAAAAAAAAAATAATTTAATGTTTGCAAACTGAATTATTTAAATTCACCATAAGATACCACATTATGTAAAGCAATTCCACTTTAAAGTGAATAAATGCTATCTGATTCATGTACTTAGCAAATAATTTGTCACTTTGCTAGTTTACTAGATTTTGTTAAAAAGGAAAATATCTTTATTTAACTTATCCCAGGAAGCTCCATTTCCTATTTCCTGTGAAGGATATAGTTCGTCATTTAGCAAAGATTTATTGAGTAACATCTGTATCAGGAACTGAGTACTAGGAGCATAGGTTATTATCTTGAAGGTGTTTAAAATCTGTTAAAGAGATGGGCATATGTATAACTAACCG